AGAAAGTGCTCATGTCTCCTTTTTTAGAAACAAAACATGGAAATTATAATAATAAAGTAATTGATTTTTTTTAAAGAGAGAAATTTAAGAATTCCAAATATCAGGTCATGGAAGCAGTTTGGAGGGCTCCAACACATAGTTAAATTTCAATCTACATATTAATACACATTTGGTCCCCAAACACAAAATTAAAATGTCATTTTGAATTTGTAGATAAGCCATACTCTTTCGTGCATACTTAATTTGAAACAAATTAAGCAGCATGCATCACTTGTTAAATGGAAGAAAGTCAAACCTTGTCCTTATATATTATGAATATTATTAAAGAATAGATTAAAATGAAAATTATAACATGATCTTTAATAACATACTTACCTAAACTCATTTTTTAAAACAAAGTTTCTTGATGTCATATACCACACTAAAATAGTACACTGACTTATTTCTATGGGAGTTGGTGAGATGACAGAGTTCCGTAAATGACCTTCAGAAGACTGGAGACCAGAAAGGAGTGGGGAGGGAAGGAGGGGGGGGCATGATTGCAGTAGAGAGGGAGGGTAGGTTGTGTTAGTCAAGGTTTTGTGCTGTATCATTTCTGCTACGGGTAACAGAAATCCGCATCAATGGAGTTTAAGGAAATGGGGATTTATTGACTTAGGAAATTGGCAAGACCAGAGACAAAACTTATTCTGGGGACTATATCAAATGACACCATAAAGCCTCTCTGTCACAGGTCTGTCTTTTGGCACCTCTTTTCTTAACATGTTGGCCTTTTGCTCACCTGGATATTCTTCCACATGGTGAGGAGAGGGCAGTTTACGGCATTCTGGCTCAGTTGATCTTGGAGAAAAGATAATGAAAACAAAACAAGCAGGACAGAATAAAAGAAAATTCCAGGAACAGACCCTATTTGTCTCTACTTTGCTTTAGAACTCCAGTGTCTGGGGAAATGGAATGACGAGGAGCTCCTGTTAGCAAAGGAAGGCGGGTTGAGGTCTCACAGTGATGCTGTTGAGTATATATATCTTCAAAGACTCTAGGAACCTCTCATGCTCAGTGAAAGACAGTTTGAGCCTCTCGGCTGGCTAGTCTCCATTTGCCTTTCAGGCTCCAGTCTGGGAAGTGGGTAACTCTGACTGGGTACAGCCACAGGGGACACTAGCAGGAGCTCTGGGTCAGGAACAGAGGAAACTTGAGGTCATTGTTCTTCTAGCCCCTTCCTTCCAAGCTGGTGGGACAGTCGCTGTTTCCCAGAAGAGCACAGCTGCAGGCGGGCAGCCCTGGTCCAGAGCTACAGTGCCCACCAGTTTGGGTGACTGCATCCTCTACTTACCCTTCAGGTCTTGGTATGTGGATGACTTCCATGTTGCTCCTGCTGGGGTGTTTCTCCATTTCTCAGGGATTTCCATGAGTTCTGTTTTTGTTTGCGTGTGGTTTCTTTTTTGTTTGGTTGGTTTTTGGTGGTGGTATATGAAGAGAGAGAGAGAGAGAGAGAGAGAGAGAGAGAGAGAGAGAGGAGTTCAAGGTCATGCTCAATAACACAGTGAATTTGAGGTAAGTATGGACTGACTCTCTCTGTGTGTGTCTGTGTGTGTGTGTGTGTGTGTGTGTGTGGGACAGGCATATATATATATATATATATATATATATATATATATATATATATGCATGGAGAGCCTAGAAGTTCATTCTGCATGTCTTCCTCTAACGTCATTCACCTTATTCACCATTTGACACAGGGTCTCATTGAACCCGAAACACTGATTAGCTAGACTGGCTCAGCAGCAAGCCCCCAGGATGTATTTCTGCAACGTCTCCAATGCTGAGGTTCCAGACATGTGCTATAGCACCTGGCCTTTTACAAGACTGCTGGGAATCTACGAGCATATCCTCACGCCTGCACAGCAAGCTCTTACCCTCTGAGCCATCTCTCCAGCACCAGCCTCAAACCCTTGATCCTCCTGCCTCCACCTCCAAGTGCCAGGACTACAGGCATGCGCATTCATGTTCATATTTGTGTATTGTTGCTTTACTGACTTCTCCCAAGTTCCTCTTTTAGTCTGCCATCTGTTTCCTGCAGAGCCCTCTCCGGGACACTCCCTCATTCTGTTCCCCACTGCCATTATGGTCCTCTTGGATTCCCGCTCTCATAGCCAACTACCTTAACTGTTTTTAAGTGTACAGTCTACATTATAAAGTATAGTCTATGGTTATGAGACACCTTCATGACTTATTTCCAGGGTTCTTAGAACGTTTTCATTGTGCAAAACTGAAGCGTTTAACCCAACTTAGAACTTCCCATTTCTTTCTTTCTCACCTCTGGCAGCCACCTTTCTACTTTCGTCTCTGTGAGTCTGAGCACCCAATGTTGCAACAGGGCCCCAGATCTTAGTAGACCCTGAGACAACTGACTCCATGAAGGAAGTGCCATTCAGGCTGTAAAACTCAGCACATAGACAGCACCACCTGCCAAAACTAAAACAAAGACCTAATCCACCAAAGCCTCTGGGAAAGTCTATAAATGTACTAACCTTGCGTTTTGGCTTCTGTAGTTTCTCTTCTGGCTGACTGTTCTTGTCAACTGAAGAATGTCAACCCAGGACATGGTTTTTGTGCTTAAAAGCTCACCCTGAGAAAGGTCCAGGGCTACACTGAGATCCTGAGCTCCCAGTGTAATTGCCAGCCGGCTAATAGAGACTTCCTATTGGCTTTAACCCATGTCCGAAAGCAGTCTTTTCCGCTGGATTCCTCATGACAGTGGAAGTGGAATCGTGTAGCGTTTGTCTTTAGAAGCTGGCTTATTTCACTTAGCATAGTTCATCAACGCGGCAGCACACGCCAGCCAGGCTGTTCAGGATTCTTTTGCATACACACACTTTCAAGACCAGACTATATCCTGCTCCAGCTTACTCCATGTTTCATGAAACAGTGGGTCTTCAGGCTGTGAACTGCCCTATTCTACAAGCAGCTTTTGATTTCATTTTGAGGGAGAGAAGGATGACTGTGACCCTTGAATGGACCCATAAGCAGCACCATCCATCACATTGTCCCTATCCAGTCCAGACTGACAAATGACTTATTCCTGGGACTAGAAAGAGAGCCACCCTTTACCTTTCTTAGGGACAAATGAAACTGTGGGAGCGTGTGGGCATATTAGATTATAGCATAAAAGCTAGGCCTAAGAACTTATCAGACACATCAGGAAGGAAAAGGGGTATGGCTCTCTTGCCTGGACCCTGAAGTGATGGACACAAAACATGGCTGTGTTGCGACCCCAAACCAACCTATTATCTGACACATGTTGTATGTGTCAAGAAGGACTTCCTGGCTTACCCCCCCCACACACACACCTACTTTGATGGAGCCTACTGGACTACCTGCTTGTCGGTCTGTTTTCCAGTCTGGACCTGGACCTGACCTATTGATTCCCGCTTCTGACAGTTTGTTTGTTTTTTCCCCCTTGAAGCTGAGTTCTGTAGCTTCATGTTCAAACCTAACTAGAGCAACTTCCTCCCAGCATTGATTAGATTTGTTATCTATACAGACTCTTTCTCAGCAGGCTTCTGAGGCCTCTTCAACTCTATTTCAGCCTCTTTACCTTGTATTCATTGTGTAACACACACACACACACACACGCACGCATGTATGCATGCATGCACTCAAATACACACAAACTTACTATGTGTGGTGTGCTGTGTGAGATAAGAAATAACATTAGTACTGGGTGATGGTGGTACACGTTTAATCCTAACACTTGGGAGGTAGAGGCAGGCAGATCTCCATGAGTTTGGGGCCAGTCTGATCTACAGACCAAGTTCCAGGACAGCTAGAGCCACACACACACACACAAAAACCTCTGTCTCAAAAAACAAACAAACAAAAAACAAAAAAAGGAAAGAAAGAACATTTGTAATTAAGATCGGAATAAAAAGCTTGCATTGACCTATACTAAACTACCAAAGTAGGCAGGCTTTGTGACAAATTGATATCATTGAAGTCACTAAACCATTCTCACTCAGTAAATTTTGACATTGTGGAAAGAGATAGCATGCTTGTGTGTGTTTCAGGAATAGTGTGCTCATGGCACATACTGCGTGCTGGTTGTTCTCAGTCGTGTATTTGAGGATGTCTGTGCTGGTCTTGGCTATGTGAACAATGCTGTAGAGAAACAAGATCTGCTTCCAGCTCCTTATGATGAATATCTCTCTCTCTCTCTCTCTCTCTCTCTCTCTCTCTCTCTCTCTTCCTCCCTCCCCATCTCTTTCTCCCTCCCTCCTTTTCTCCAGAGTGAGATTGCTGATAACTTCATTTTAATTTCCAAAGAAAACCCCATACTATCTTTTATAATGGAGTTCTTTGCTTGTTTGTTTGGTTTTTTTTGAGACAGGGTTTCTCTGTAGCTTTTTTTTTTCTCTGTAGCTTTGGAGCCTGTCCTGGAACTAGCTCTTGTAGACCAGGTTGGCCTTGAACTCACAGAGATCTGCCTGCCTCTGCCTCCCGAGTGCTGGGATTAAAGGTGCAGACTACCACCACTCGGGCTTTTGCATTTCTTTTTTCTTTATTATTTGAGACAGGGTCAGCCTAGGCTGACTTCCAACTTCTGAATGAATAGGCGTGTGTCACCATATCTGGTCCCACTCTCATTTCAACCAGCAATATATAAGGGTTTTAATTTCTTCACAGTTTTGCCCATATGGTTGTTTTCTATTTTATTATTTCCTTTGTATTGTCTACCTTACTAGATGTGAGGCTGTGTGTGTTGGAAAGTTGTATGTCAACTTGACATAACCTTAAGACATCGGAGAGGAGGGAACCTCAATTCAGAAAATGTCTCCATAATACTGGACTACAGGTAAGTCAATAGGATATTTTCTTAATTAGTGATTAATGGAGGAGGGCCCAGCCTATGGGATGGTGGCCCTGGGTTCTGTAAGAAAGCAGGCTGAGTAAGCCATAGTGAGCAAGTCAATGAGCATCACCCCTTGGTTTTTGTATCAGCTCCTGCCTCCAGGTTCCTGCCCTGTTTGACCTCCTTTGATGATGAACGGTGATATGGAAGTGTAAGCTCAATAATTTGTCATGGCATTTCATCACAACAATGAAAACCCTAAGACAGTATATATGTATGTATGTATGCATGCATGCATGCACGTATTATAGTTTTACTATGTAGCCCAGGCTAGGAACTGAGAAATCTGCCTGCCTCTGCCTCCCAAGTGCTGGGACTAAGCATAAGTGCCATTATGTTTAACCTTGTTATGGTTTTGGTTTTCATTTTCTGATAATCTATGATTTGGAAAATGTCATTTAAGTCCTTTGCTTATTTTTTTTATTAGCTTGCTTGATTTTTTTAATGGTTGAGCTGCTCTATTTTGATTTTAACTAGTAAGAGCAATAACGAGAGAAAACCTGCATCATTTACTTTTGCAGCAAAATCTAGCGTAATTTCCATGTCCTTTAAGAACTGGGGATTCCAAGAGAGCATGTGTGCTAGCAAATGAGGGAGTGTCCTTCATGTTCTAGAACAGTGATTCTTAACCTCTGGGTCACAACCCCTCTGGGGCCCACCTAAGACCATCAGAAAACACAAATATTTGCATTATGATTCTTTTTTTGCATTATGATTCTTAACAGTAGCAAAATTGCAGTTATGAAGTAGCAATGAAAATAATTTTATGGTTGGGGGGGTCACCACAGCATGAGGAACTGTATTGAAGTATTGAAGCATTAGGAAGGTTAAGAACTAATGGTCTAGAAATTTTTCAAAAATAAAGAAGCTGGAAAACTAGCAGAACTCCAACACCCTCTTGGACTACTGGGGTGGGGAAAGGGATTTCTTCAAGATCATCTTCCATCTGTATCCCAAGTCACATATTAGCATCCTTGTATAGGAAGGAGGACAAGAATGAGACTCCTGTGTAGGAGAGAGGATATGGTTGTGACATTAGTGGTAATTGGTAGAAGTCCACGGAAATCGGAAAGTGATAGTTTCATTTAGTCTTTAAGAGAAAACTCAGCTGTGACTGGCCTCTGAAAGATCCCTGAGAACTTTGCATTATGGAAGTCTTCTATTCTGTTTTCTGTACTATCTATTAGCCATATGCAGCTGCTGTGTATGTAAATATGGTCTATGTGGCTGAAGGACTGTATTTTAGGTTAACTTAAATATGAAATAGCCACATGTTGTTGGTAGCTAGCAGACTGGAAAACACAAGTATGCAAAGCATGTATTGATTTGGGTCTGAAGACTAGAAGATTTATATAGGTTTAAGTTTTACTACTATTCATGAATTTTGCTAGCCATGTGTCTTAGTTTGGGTTTTATTGCTATGAAGAGACACCATAACCATGACAACTCTTATAAAGGCAAAAAATTTAATTGGGGCTTGCTTACAGTCCAGAGGTTTAGTCCATTATCACGGGGGGAGAGGGGCGGGCATGGTGGCATGCAGGCAGATATGGTGCTGGAGAAGGACCCAAGAGTTCTACATCCAGATTGGCAGGCAGCAGGAAGAGAAGGCCACACTGGGCTTGGCTTGAACATCTGAGACATCAAGGTCCACCCCCTCAGGGACACACCTCCTCCAACAAAGCCACACCTACTCCAACAATGCCACATCTCCTAATAGTGCCGCTCCTTATGGGCCCATAGAGACCCGTACTGACTATACAGTATCTAAAAATTTACACAGTCTATGGCCATGGACATAGAGATGGTGACAAACAAGAAGGAATAGGAGGACATCAGGACCTGTACCTAGAGGAGGTGACTGAAGACAGAACAACAAGGCCAGCAGGAGGAACTGATAAATAGGCAAGCACGGTGGCACATGCACACGCCTTTAATCCCAGCACGTTAGAGGCAGAGGGAGGGGTCTCTGAGTTCAAGGCCAGCCTGGTCTCCAGAGTGAGTTCCAGGACAGCCAGGGCCACACAGAGAAACCCTGTCTCCAAAGGAAACAAAAAGAGAAAAGAAAAGGCAGTGTCAGTGCCACAGAGTTGTAAAGATTAAAAGACACACATGCGCACATGCACAGTACCTAGATACTAAATGCTAAACATCAGAGCTAACTAAATATTAGTTGTTGTGGAAAGGAAGGAGGAAAATGATCGAGTATGGAAAGTGAGCTCTGCTGCACTCCTTAAACACGACGTGTCCTCCTCCTCTCTGGACCGAATCAGAGCCGATGGAGAGGGTGGGGCAAGCACTGAGCCACCGACTCTTGGTCTTTGAGAAGAATTTGATACGCAGTTGTTATTTACAGTGTAATGAACTACTTTCAAGTCAGCAAAAGTCAAGAAAAATGAAGCGAACTAATTTTTAGATGAATTTTCACAGAAGCAGGCCCTGAGAGGAGGGCCATTGTGCAAATGGTTTTTAAGGATGTGCTCCCAAAAGACGTGGGGGAAGGAATGGAGCTGCAGAACAGAGAGGGGAGGAAACCAGGCAAACTCCCTTCCTCAGCTTGATCCTGCAAGGAGGGCTTTGTTTGTTTATGAGACTGGATCTTAAGGAACTCGGGGAACTCATTATGTAGTCCAGGCTGGCCTTGAACTCTTGATCATACTGCTTACAGCTCTCAAGTGGTGGGAGCTCGCTCTTGAGGGTCAGTCCCATTCCAGACAAGGAAGTTGTTCCTTCAGATGCTCGTACCTGTCTCTCATGGGCTAAGTTCCATTCCTAGCCGCAGGCATTCATGCCCTCTGTACAGCTGAAGAAATCAGTGTCAGAGGTTGGAGAAGACGGCGAATTCCCCAAACTAAAGGAAGGCAATATAGAAACAGAAAAAGGGAACGATTGGATGAAACACCCAGCACTAAATTTTTTTTATTTATTAAAGATTTCTGTCTCTTCCCCCCAGCCGCCTCCCCTTTCCCTCCCCCAATCAAGTCCCCCTCCCTCGTCAGCCCAAAGAGCAATCAGGGTTCCCTGCCCTGTGGGAAGTCCAAGGACCACCCACCTCCATCCAGGTCTAGTAAGGTGAGCATCCAAACTGCCTAGGCTCCCACAAAGCCAGTATGTGCAGTAGGATCAAAAACCCATTGCCTTTGTTCTTGAGGTCTCAATAGTCCTCATTGTCCTCTATGTTCAGCGAGACCGGTTTTAACTCAGGCTTTTTCAGACCCAGGCCAGCTGGCCTTGGTGAGTTCCCGATAGAACATCCCCTTTGTCTCAGTGTGTGGGTGCACCCCTCGCGGTCTTGAGTTCCTTGCTTGCCCAGCACTAAATTTTGTGAGTTAGACTGAATGTATCTGGGCAGGTAACTAACCAGCTCAATTGCTACTGCTGCTTGCTGACTGTCCAAACTCTGAACAGTGCATCACAAACGTCAGACTGAGTAAGATCCCTGGAGAAACTGTTTAAAATATCTATTCCTCATGTCCAGCATGCCTGGGGCTTGACCCCACCCCCAGCATTGAAATTTGTAAAATAAATTAAAAATTTGCCCCCATTGGCTTCATTTCCGGAACTTCAGGACCAGTTGGCAAGTCCGAAGTGATCTTATTGTCAACACACATCCCAGGTAACTTGGAATGTGGTGACCCTTGGACCATATCCTGAGAACCAATGCTTAGGGAGCTTGTGGAAGCTGGCAGGGAGGTGGTGGAAATGAGGAATCAGGGTACTTTGGAGGTAGGGCCCTACAAATGCTTTGTGCAGTCAGGAGTCTATTCCTGAGCCAATGTAGAAAAATGGAAAGGCGTCATGCTTGCCCCCCAAACTCCTGGAAAGGCACAAAGTGAGCTAGCTGGTCAGTTTGGGGTAGAGGACAGAATGACAGCTTCCCTGGAGTGGTCGCTGTGTGACCATCTTCCAGGAAAGAACGTGCAAGGAACAGAACCTAGCATTATAATCACAAGAGTATTTTACACCGAGCCGCCTTCCCCATCTCCCCATGGCCCTGAGTGCGAGCAGATTATTAGTGGTCATGCACGCAGCAAGCATGGATGCAGGGGAGGCAGGATCAGGCCAGATGTCAACCATACCGAGCGCTTCTGGCATCTGTGAACAGTGCTGCTGGCATCTGTGAACAGTGCTGCTGGCATCTGTGAGTGACTTAGCACATGGGGCAGCAGGGCTCCGTCCTGATGAGCTCCTTTGGGAGGATGCAGAGCCCATGCCTCCAAGTCGTTCTCCTCGGGGATATTTTGGCATCCAATCACTTTCACTAGCGGCCCAAGGCTACTTTCCTACCCTGGGTCCACAGTAAGTCCTAGGCAGAGCTGTAGTTGTCTGCAAACGGCTGTCAGCGTTGGGGGGGCAGGGGGAGGGTGTAAAGTGCGGCCAGGGCTTCAGCAGTGCTTGCCAGGTGAGTGGAATTGTTCATTTGGCAAACAAAGACGGTGCTGACTGAGGGGCTGTGTTAGGCGGGGCTGCTTGGCTGCAGCTCTGCTCAGGCCTTCAGCTGATGCCTTCAGTCTCCATGTTCAGCCTGGTTCATTTCCTGAACAGTCATGGCCAAGGAATTGTGCAAGGTCCAGTGTATGAAGTCCCAGAAGACACGTGGTGCCGCTGGCCCAGGAATTAGTATACACAAGGTTAAGAGCCAGGCAAGACTTTCCACCCAATCTTACCTCATACGTTTCTGTTCACTCTATTGGACTTGGCCTGAGCCCAAGAGAAAAATCATGAGCCGCCATCAGAGTCAGACCTCCTGGGGTGCCCCTTGCATCTGCTTTATGAATTTCTTCCTAGCCTCATCTCTGGCTTTAATCATTTGCCTCCTCTCTTTTGTTTATCTCTCATTACCTCACAGTGTTGTTAAAGCCCAGAGGCGAGCTGATAGACCAGTCCTAATTATCCTCCATGAGGTGACAGGCACGGGTGGGGAGAAATAGGAGGACAACGACAGGCATTATTGGACATGGCTAAGAAAAGAATCCCCAGGAATGTGTGTGGAGTTTAGTAAAGATTTCAAAAATGCACCAGCAATACAGGCAAGAGCCACGGAATTCAAAAAATAGATATAAGCAAAAGAAAATGGTGGCTTTGAGAGGAAGCTGGGAAGAGCGGGAAGGGTGGGGTTAAGACACCACAAAGCCAGCAGCTCTTCAATAGCTCTGTTTCCAAAGGGCCGCCGTGCAAAAAGCAGAAACCCAGGGTCAGTAAAGGCTAGACACAAGCGTGCTCCACACGATCAGAAGGGACGCTGCAAGGCTAGAAAAGGCTTGGGCTTAAGGCAAACTCAATTTAGCCACGAGAAGTCATTTGTGTTACCTTTGAATCAGAAATGCAAAAGGCATAGGTGTGCTTGAAGATGAACGAAGTGGTATGAAGGACGGGGTGGGGGGCAAGACCTATACAGTTCCAATTGTGCTTGCTCCCTTATCTTATTGTTGGCTGTTGCGCTTTAAACTGGAAAAGTTGAGTCTGAGTTAAACTAGAGAGAGGCAGACATGTGTCTGTGTGTTTTGAACAAGTTCAAGTGAGGCAATCTGTAGGTGGAAGGGGCTGTCAGTGGGGAAAGTGCATTCGGTTTTGCGTGTCAGGTTTTCATAGAAGCATTGTCTCAAAGGATGGGAGGGGAACCTGGGAAGAAGGTTCTAAACACTGTGACAAACGAAAGCTGTAGGAGCCAGATAAGCTTTGTGCCACAGGCGGGAGGTTTGGAAGGGGGGCCTTGAGCTAGTGTGGAAGATTAAACAAGGAAGACCCGTGGAAGAAGATAAGTCGTGGTGTGTGCGGGGGAAGCGTAGACATTCTGCAGAAGCCCAGTCCAGTTCAGTCGGAACTTTTGTATGCTTAGAAACAGAGTGACGAACTGCTTCAGTGTGGTTGGTGCCTTCACTAAAGAAAAGGCCAGACTCAGAGGAACCGAATCTGCCAAGGCGACTAGAGACAGAGTTTTTGTACAAGGTATGAAGATCTTGTACAGGATCTTAGGATCTTAACCTAACTAAGATTCTCTACATAGAAAATACCTGTATTGGTATGAAAATTGTGTTAGTACACTATTTTAAATAGTACACCATTTTAAAATATTTTTATTGCTCTGTGTGTGTGTGTGTGCGCGCGCATGCTCACACACAGATTCTAAGTCCTTTCCATAGAAGTTACACTTGGTAGTCTTTTGTAAATCTTTTCATGGCTTGATACAGAAGAAAATGAATAAAGGGAAAAAGGCCTGGATATGTTACTTCATAAAACCAGCCAAGTGTTCAAGCCAACCTTAAAGACTGGTTTCCCAGTGTGTGGTTTCTGCCCTGTAGACTCATCTTAACATTTTAATCTCTTGACACCTATGTGTTTGACACACACCACACACCATTCCACTGCCGAGTCCCAAAGGTTCAGCTTTGTAAATCATGAAGGGACTTGACCCCTAGTTACTTGCTTTTCGTGGTTTCTTTAAATCTGCAACAAGGCCAAGCTATGCTGCAATACACAAAACGACCACAAGGTGACACCCTTGGGAAAGTCTTGCTTCTGCGACTTGGTTTCGGGGCTCTGACGTCTATTCTAAACATAGCCTTGTAAACTGCTTGAGGAAGAGAGAAGAGGCTCTATTATGGGGGAGGAGAAACAGCAGTGACAATACAGCCCTGGCTCTTTCCTGTGCTTTGGTACACAGAGTCAAGCCTTGATTGCTTTCTTCCACTTCTTAATTATCGGCTTTTGGAGGCAGACGCATAGCTCTGCATAATACGTCAGCACATTTTTCATACACGCACATCCATTTTCTGCCTTTGCTGATGCTCCGTGTGATTTAGAAGCTGCTCCTGATTTGGAGGAGGAGCCTGTCCTTTTGGGCTATGAGCGTGCACACTCATTCCTGCATTGCTTCTGTCCCCTGCCTCACTTCCAGTAAGCCTCCTGGGTTAGCAGGGAGAGACTGCAAACCGCCTTTCTAGAAAGGGAAGAGTTTGGCTGGCCCAGTGCTCGCTGCTGCGAACCTCAGGCCAACTGGAAAGGAGATCAAAGGGAAAGGCAGGGCAGCAGAGTAGCTAGGCTGAAAACGGGCTTAGCCACGGAAGTGGACACGTCTGGTCAGTCTTCTCTCTTGCTTCCTCCGCTTTTCGTTTTCTTAAAAATACAATTTAGAAATGGCATTTCATGTGACAGGAAGCCCCACGTTGCCATTTTTCATTTTAGTTTACTTGGCTATCACTTGGTATATGCTTCCCGGAGAGAGAGAGGAACGCGTGTCAATCAGGGTACTGTTGTGTGTGTTGAAAAAGAATCCTCCACTGGCTTGTGGGTTTTGGCAGGCAGTTACCAAAATGAATAAACTGTGAGCAGATGCCACGTTTTCATGGGGCGCAACTCTGGCCAGCCCTCTTCGTTTTGGTACCTGTGAGTGGAAAATCACTGCCTTAATGAGCTGTGCGCCCCATGGTAAAAATGTTTGAAGTTGTTGAGCGGATGAAAGCAGCCAAAAAAAAAAAAACAAAAAAAACAAAACAAAAAAAAAAACCCTGAGACTAATCTTACCAAACTCCGCTGGACGATTCTTGTCTCCTTATATTTATTCCAAGGGTGGTTCTGCTAGAAACTGTCATTTGTGAGCAGAGGGCGTTGAAACAGAGTCACAAACTACTGAACTGCAGCAAGCCAGGCCCATAGCTGCTCAGAGCATCTGGCGTGGTCTGGCTTAGTGCTGCTGCCTCCTGACGATGCCCAAATAGGAGCGATGGTTTCTCTCCTCTGGGAACGTCCTATGCGGAGAGAAAGACATACCACAGAGAACAGAGGCCCAGTGTCGTGCCTGGAATTATGGTTGAGTATTAAGAACACAATAAAAATCCAAGTCTAGCCTGCCGGGGCTGCTCATGGCTGCAGTAATCCAAAATGTGTTCAAATGCTTCTTGAGCAAAGTCAAATCATCTTTTGCCCTGGAAATGTAAGTAACTGGCTGGATGTTGTTGTTGTTGTTGTTGCTGGTGGTGGTGGTGGTGTGTGTGTGCTTTAATAGACTTTTCTTTGTAAATTTTCTAAAATAAGCATTTTTATTTTTTTGCCCTCATTATAAAAGCAAGTGTGAGTCTGAAGAGGAAAATGTATGCTTTTTTGGCAACAGTCAAAACAATGTTAACAAAGCAAACATTTCCGTAGTGGTAATCATGGTGCAGATACTCCCATTCTTTACAATGCTGTTTAATTATGTTTATCTTTCCTTTGATATTTAGACAATTTAAAAATATGATGCCCCAACTGGGCGGTGGTGGCGCACACCTTTAATCCCAGCACTCAGGAGGCAGAGGCAGAGGCAGGCGGATCTCTGTGAGTTCGAGGCCAGCCTGGTCTACAGAGGGAGTTCTAGGACAGTCAAGGCTGTTACACAGAGAAACCCTGTCTCAAAAAAAAACAAAACTAAAGATGCCCCCTTTGTTTATTTTGGTGCTATTGCCTGTATTTTTGGTGTTATAGCTAAATAATTAACACATTCAATGCCACGATGTCTGTCTACTGTCTAGGAGTTTTACAGACTGGGTCCTTTTTGAGTTCTTTTTGCTTTGGTTGCATGTATTTTGTTCTTAACAGTATCTGAGGAGTTTGGGGCATTATTTTAGTCCCCAATTCATCATCAATGCTTCCACTGCAGTAACTAGAGACGAGGGACAGGGAAACCTCCTGAAGGAGACATGTGCAAGGAGGAGAGGCCTTTCAACCAAATCACTCTCTGGCTTCACGGAGGTGCTAAGAGACCTTCTCATGGGCGATGTGAGGGCGAAATGAAGGAGGATGTAGACCATGCTGAGCACAGACTGGAGCACTGGAAGGTCTCAGTGCCTGATGGCTCTTGTTTCATGCATGGAGCTAACAGCTCCAAGCAGCTAAGAAGGAACAGCCTCTTGGCTGGTCCTAAATGTTGAGCTCGTTTTTAATGACATAAAATAATCTTCCAGCTTTCTTCCTTCCCATGGAGACACCTATCTTCCCAACACCATTTATTGATGAGAATATTCTTTGCCAGTTGAGTTTGTCTTAGCATTGTTTTCGAAAGTCATTAGATTCTGTATGCATGAGTTTATTCCTAGGCTCTCGATTTTACTTGTCCATATGTCTGTCTGTATGCTAGCACCATTGTCTGGATTGTAGCTGTGTAATGTTTTGAAACCACGAAGTGGGGGAAATCATACATATTTGTTATTTTTCAAATTTGTTTTGGCTACCTAAGGTTCCCTGAGATTTCATACAAATTTGACAATATTTTTCTATTTCTTCAAAAAAACGCCACTGGGGTTTTGTTAAGGATTGCATTGAACTGAGCGGCACTGACATTTTACCAGCATTGAATGTTTTAATGCATACACAGAAGAATAATATGTCTTTCCATTTATTTCTATCTTTCTGAATTTCTTTCTTCAGTGGCTTGTATTTTCTGTGTAAAAGTCTTTCATCTTTTGATTGGGTTGATGCCGTTACAAATAGAATTGTTCTCTTTGTTTCCTTTCCAGGTACTTTATTGTTAGTGTATATGAACACAACAAAACTTGAGTATTTACTTTTTATCCTACAAACTTGCTGAATTAAGATTTATGATTAGGATTTTTTGGTGTGCTGCTCTTAGAGTTGGGAGGCACAGCTTCAATGAAGAGCAAAGCCATGTTGACTGGAATTTGGAGTCTCTTAGGAATACTTGGAAAAGTAGGCCAAAACTTGACTAAGAGGGAATTTGTATAAGTTTCAGGAACCCTGAAATTCATGGTATAATCTCTTTTTCCCTTAAATTAAAAAAGGAAGTGATGATGTATACGAGCTTCCATTGTCTATTGTGTAATGGAAGGAAGCAGGCAACCTTGTCAGTCAATTTTGTTGTGATACTCATGCACAAGGCATTTTTTGCTTTCAGTGACATTTCTATTCCTTTAACCTTCTAGGAAGATTTCTGGTAACCATACATAGTCCTCCCCGTGCTGCTAGGAGATATGATCTACCACGTCAGGGTTTCTGCCTGCAGCGGGCAGACCGTACATGGTGTTCCAGTCTCACAATTACTAAGTTCACAGTAAGAGAGGATGACACAGGACAAGAGCGGGAACAACCTTAAGGTTCCTCTCACGGATCAACGCCAGACATCTAATGAACTACGGAAACACGTAGAAGAAACGGCTGGAAATGTCTTTGCAAAATAGCATTGCAAACTAGGAATCTATTTCAGCCCATTTCTTGCCCCTGTATTCTTTTTTAAATATATTTTTATTTTTCCATTCAAAAATTTCCACTTCCTCCCCTCCTCCCATTCCCCTCCCGCTTCCCCACTCCCCCTCCTTCCTCCTCCTCCCTCCTTAAGAGAGGGCAGGGTAGCCTGCCCTGTGGGAAGTCCAAGGCCCTCCCCCCTCCATCCAGGGCTAGGGAGGTATGCATCCAAATAGACTAAGGTCCACAAAAGCCAGTACATGCAGTAGAAACAAGTCCCAGTGCCTTTACCAATGGCTTCTCAGTCAGCCCCCATTGTCAGTCACATTCAGAGAGAGAGAGAGAGAGAGAGACCCACATCAGAGCACTGGACTGGGCTCCCAAGGTCCAGTTGAAGAGCAGAAGGAGGGAGAAGATGAGCAAGGAAGTCAGGACCACGAGGGGTTGGTTCACCCACTGAGACAGTGTGACTGATCTAATGGGAGCTCACCAAAGCCAGCTGGACTGGGACTGAACGAGCATGGGATCAAACCAGTCCCTGTATTCTTTAGCTTGGAGATTGCTGGCATTTCTGGAAGTAAGTGCATGTGTGAAAGAACCAATGGCATTCTTATTTTTCTTATTTTGAGTTAAACTTTGAAAAAATATTCTGAGATTGATTCTCACTCAGTCTTTGGGGAATCGTGGCAACATTATTGGATTACTTTAAAATGTATCCTCTTCTGAATCCATTAGAGTTTCTTAAGATGTTTGAATGCAAAATATGTCCCCACGGGCCCCTGTGTTTGAAAAGGTGGTCCGCAGTTGACAGCTGTTTGGGGATAATGTAGAACCCTTAGGAGGTGGAGCCTTGCTGGCGGAAGTTGGTCTGTGGCAATAGAGACATCCATGCCCAACACAGAGTTCCTGTCTTGGGCAATCCTTGTTCCCCTGCTCCTGGGGCTCTGCCTGTAACTGTGATGGAGAAGTATCACAGTTTGAAGCTCTCCTTGCCTGGTCCTGCTTTTCACATCCCGTGCCCACATTTCTGTTGACAGACGTCAGAGCTCCATGGTGGTCCGAGGTTCTCTCTTCATGGTTCAGCTTCTTCTCCTTTTTAATTTTCCTTTGTTTTTACAGTCATAGAATTTCACAACCACAGAGATCTGAGAGGTTTTATTATTATTATTATTATTATTAGTAGTAGTAGTAGTAGTAGTAGTAGTAGTAATTTTGACTTCCTTTGGGTTTTAGAACACATAATGAAAGCCACAGACCCCACCCTTGACAGGCTACATTCTAGACAAACCAAGCTGTCATTGTGGGGAGGAAGAGTCAAGAGCTCATCGGATGGGATGACTGAGGTGATGGCTCAGTGTGGAGGAGTGTGGGAAAGAAGGGATGCTCCAGTGGATCAAGGCGAGTAGAAGAAGAAAGGTATTGTCGGATGGCATGAATAGCATTGCTGAGCTTTCTTTGCTAATTTGTCGCTGGAAGGATGAAGTTTACCGTGTCTCCCCTACCTTCACCCGACACTCACTCACTTGGGAACCCGGGACAAACTGCAAGGCCTCCATGCCACCAGCTGGCCTTGTTTCTAAAATCCCCAGGGAAATGGGTGTGAGTCTCATAGCAAATGTACAGATGGCCCTCTGTCTGCAGGGTCTGCATATGGAAAATATTTTTTTTAATTGCACCTTCAGTGAACATGTACAGCCCCCCCCTTTTCTTGTCCTTATGCCCTGTAATACGGCACATTATTTCCGTAGCATTTCTAATTCTTTTATTTTAAATGATCTAAAGATGATTTCAAATATACAAGAGGGTTAAACAGCTTCAGTGGAAATTCTATGCCGCCTAATTCGGTCTAATTATTCTAACGCCACTTATTTATATGCATATATGTGCTTGCAGGTCAGAGAACAGCTTGTGGGAGTCAGCTCTCTTCTTCCACTAAGTGGGTCTTGGGATTGAACGCAGGTCTCCTTACCTGCTGAGTTTTTTTTTTTTCCATTTTATATAAGGTACTTGAGAAGCCTCAGATGTTGGTACCCCAGCAGGTGCTGGGTTCAATCCCCTGCGGGTACTGAAGGACAGCTGTATTCAGTGTCCCTTTAAGGGCTTCTTATGAACTAACTAGGTCAAGCAGATACCATTATTAACTCCTTCTTTTTAAAAGTTATTTTTTATAAGCCAATCCCAGTTCTCCCCCGCCACCCCCCCCCTCCGTATTAGCTCTGTTTTGTAGCTGAGGAAACTGGGCCTAAGGACTTCAGTTCCATGCCCAAGGGGGATACAAATCATGCCTCCCATCTGAGCGGAACCCCGGCCAACTCGGCAGCACTTGCTCTGAAAGCCCGCCTTGACAGAACATTCCAGTGTGAATACGCTGTATTAATCCGCGATCCAACCTTGACACTTCAGGGGGAACTGAGTGCCCATGTGCTCTGGCGAGACCTATAATTGCCCACAGGACTGCATTCTGTCCGCTTTGGGCCCAGTGTGGTGTAATGACACTTGTCCCTGTTTAACAGAGTGGGAGAATGAAGGGGGTGACGACTGCTAAGGGTTTGGAATCTGTCTAATAAAAAGCTTTGTCTCACAGGCTCCCACAAGGGAAAAGAAGGACTTTTAATAGGAGTGAGAAACCGAGGAGCCCTCAGGAGCAAGAAGCACTTTGTTCTTCGATGGTGATCTCTTCAACTAAGAGCTATCATTTTGTTTAATGATTTCCAACCCGAATAAGCAGTACAACAAGTGAGCCTCGAAATCAGTTAGCCAACCAAAAGGCAAACATTTTGTAACCAGGAGATAGGGGAGCTTTATAGCCTCTAAACAGGGTAATCTTCGAGCACCCCCTGCCATCTTCCCTGCCGGCAGCACAAACAGGTGGGTTTTAATCACTGTACCTGCCATAGCTGGAAGAGCCAGCTGATAGGAAGATTAGACCCAGTTTGTTCCTGGGGGAGCAGGTGACCTTAGAACCACGCCGTGTGCTTATTTTGTTTGTATGTTTTCAAACCGACTGCAAGGGATTAAGAATGCAAACACTATAAAGATGGCAGTCAATACTCCTTCTGCTTAAAATGATAGGCTAAGGCCACTGGAGTATATAAACACTGCCCTTGGAAGAGAAGTCCAGGGAGGGGGCCTGTTCTCAGCAGCGCCATGCTTTCGGTCTATAACTCCAGTGCCACCCTCCTTGGGATACTTGTTGCTTCGGCTATTTTGATACTTTTCCTTATACATTTCTCCATAATTTTTTATGATTAGTAACTTAACTTGGGCTTCTCCTAGCATGCACTTACCTCTGGAGCCATCTTGGCAGCCTGATTTTGACTTTTGATTTTAGAAATCCATGTTGTAGGAGTCTGCGCAGTCTATAGAGAAAGTTCAAAACCTTCGTCAAGGCTGTACTTCTTGGCAAGAAGCCTTTAGTGTGAAATTTGTAAAGCTTGTCTTCTCCAACCATAGATCAGTAACGAACTGGGATTTAGAATCAGGAAGAGCCCAGTTCAAATTCTACTCCAACTTCATTTATTATTCTTGTGATTTCAGTCACTTATGACAGCCTCGATCGCGTGTCACTCAGACCTCTTGCTTGAGAGTACTCCTGTGAGCTCATTTGGTTGAGGTCACATCCTGAGATGCTCTCTTCCTGACCCCATTTCCTTCCTTGTCTTCTTCACGAGGGTGATTGGCATTCCACATAGATGGCAGCACTATCTATAGGCTTTCTCTGCATTCCCCTGCCCTCGTTAAAGACTCTGAGCCCTCCAAGGATCTTTCCGCTGAATATCCTTCCAGTCTTTGCTTCATTAGGGGGGCGAGGGTGTCTGATGAATTAGCACAGCCAGCCTCTTAAATTCTGTGTGACCCAGGATCCTCACCTGTAAAATGAGGCTATGGTAATCTGTCTCTTGATTGCAGTAAAAAAAAAAAAACCGATGCAAATAACTTCAGAAAAAAAATGTCTGGCCCCTGTCACACATAAGCTATCATTAATTTCCATCTTTTGCTTCCACATTGCCTACTCTTGCCCCTTCCCACTAACACTGTCTCTCTTGAAATATTCTGTATCTGCTCTCTTCAAGTCCCAAGGCATTAATTAGTGAGACTCCCCCATCTTGCCTACTAGCCAGTGTTAATATACTAATGCCAGCAGAGTTTTGATGTAGGTCCTCTGAGAAATAACTCATAAGGCATTCAGACAGTGGAAGAAATTAAGTAAATCAGGAAATGGTGCTGCCTTTTGGTGCCCACACCATTTTTTAGTTATCCTAGGAGGCCCACAGTGGCAACCTGCTGAATGACATGCCCTATGCTGCTTTTCTTTCCTGTTTCACCTCTCCCCTTCTCTTCTGGTGTAGGAGGTCCTTCTGTCTTTGTGTTGCTTTCGTTGGTTAATAAAGAAACTGCCTTGGCCTAGTTGATAGGGTTGATAGGGCAGAACTTAGATAGGCAGGGAAGACCGAACTGAATGCTGGGAGGAAGAAAGGCAGAGTGAGAGAGAGACACCATGGAGCCACCAGAGACAGATATGTTGAATCTTTCCTAGTAAGCCACTGCCACATGGAGATACGTAGATTAATAGAAATGGGTTAAGTCAAAATGTGAGAGTTAGCCAATAAGAGACTAGAGCAAATGGGCCAAGCAGTGTTTTAATTAATAACAGTTTCTGTGTGGTTATTTCGGGGCTAATATAGCCGGGTGGCCAGGACGAACAATCAGCCTCTCCCTACAACACTCTTCTAGTACTTGCTCATCCAGCTCTCAGACTACTTGTACTCGAGTCTACTGACTAAGCTTGACAGGCCACCCTGATGAAGGCAGTCCATATTCTTCCCCTGTCTAACCCTTTGATCCCCATTCCTGATATATGTCCCCATTTCATTTTCATCCATATTTTTTTCATACTTCCTTTCACAGGGGTCATTTTCAGGCTACTCCATTCCTAAATGGTCTTACCCATCACCGAATCTTTTCAGCATGTCTAGCCTTTGGACAACCAACTAGATAAATTGAATTGCATCAAACTTAAAAACTTAGGGCTAGGGCTATAGCTCAGTAGAAAGAGCACTTGCCCAGTCTGCACATACTCAGAGTTCAATTTATAGTACTAATACAAATTTAAAAAAAAATCCTCCTTCAAGCTAGATGGTGGTGGCACACACCTTTAATCCTAGCACTCAGGAGGCAAATGCAGGTGGATCTCTGTGAGTTTGAGGCCAGCTGGTCTACAGAGCAGTATCAGGCCAGGCTCCAAAGCTACAGAGAAACCCTGTCTCAAACAACCAAAAAAAAAATCCTTCTTCAAAGAACCTTATCAAGAATATGAAGGATAAGTCACAGTTAGGAGAACATATTTACAAGTCATAGAAGATATTTATGTCTAGCATATACAAAGAATTTTATAACAATAATAAAAAGATGAATAAGCCAACTAAAAGAGATAGTGGATCTGTATAGGTATTTCTAAAAAATACAGAAATGGCCAATAAAGACATGAAAATATACTCATATCAGTAGTTACCAGGAAAATGCAAATCAAAACATGAGGACTTAAAGACAGATTGTATTGTGTATTGAATTTGCCAAGATTTTAAGTATTCTTACTACACATACAGTAAGTATGTGATGGATATGTTGATTTCATTGACTATACTAATTTCACTATGTATGCACATGTTATAACATTATTGTAGGCCTGATGTAGTGACACATACCTTTAATCCTAGTACTCAGGAGGCAGAGGCAGGTCTGGTCTACATAATGTGTTCCAGACCAGCCTAGGCTACATAGTGAGACCCTGTCTCAAAAGAGGGGGAGGCAGAGAGATGACTTAGTAGTTAAGAGTACTTACTGCTTTGCTTCTCTTAGTTCAGGTTTCTACTGCTGTTATGAAACACCATGACCAAAATCAAGGTGGAGAGAAAAGGGTTTATTTGTCTTACCTTTTCATATCACAGTTCATCATTTAAGGAAGTCAGGACAGGAACTCAAACAGGACAGGAATCTGAAGGCAGGAGCTGATGCAGAGGCCATGGAAGGGTACTGCTTAACTGGCTTGCTTCCCATGGCTTGCTGAGCCTGCTTTCTTATAGAGCCCAGGACCACCTGCCCATGGGTGGCTCCACCTACAATGGGCTGGACTTTTCCCAATTGTTCATTAATTAAGAAAATGCATTACAGTGGATCTTATGGAGGCATTTTCTCAATTGAGGTTCCCTCCTCTCTGATGACTCTAGCTTGTGTCAAGTCGACATAAAACTAGCCAATACCATGCTCCTGCAAAAGACTCAAGTTCAATTCCCAGCACCCACATCATGTGATTCATAACCACCTGTAATTCCAGGTCCAGGGAATCTTACACTTCTGGCATCTGTGTGCACATGTCCCAGTCCAGTTAAAAACAATAAAAAAATTTGAAAAGAAATACCATATGAATCAAAGAACTGTTCAAATTAAAAATTGTGTCACAACCACTTCAAAAGCAACATATTGTTGTATACCTTAAATATAGGCAATAAATAAGATCATGCATAGAAAAGAGAATTATATTTCAAAATAAAAACCACAGTGAGGCATTTTACAACCAATTAGAATAACAATAATAAAATACAAAGAGTAGCACGTACTGCTGAGGGTGGGGAGAAAGTGGAACTCAAGGAGAGTGGATGTAAAAATAGTACAGCTGCTTTGGGAAACAGCCTGACCATTCATCAAAAAGTCAAACATAGTTATTACATGATCCAGCTATTCTGCTCTTAGGTATATACCAAAGATGCACCAAAACAGGCATCTGTACAAAAATTCATGTGTGAATGTTGATACTAGCATTTTTCATAAGGGCCTCAAAGTGGGACAACCCAAATATCCATTAACATTTGCATGGATAAGCAAAATATTCTACATGCACACAAGCAGGTATTACTTGATGTTAATACACACTATGGTGTGAGTGACTTTGAAAACTTTATGCTAGGGGAAAGACTCTAGACACATAAAACAATATTGTATTTATAAGAACGATCTAGATGACATAGCCATTGTTCTCATGAACTCCCTGCAGCTGTGATTACCGGTTACCTGCATAAGACCTGCACAACTTTGGACCTATCAAGTTTCTGTCCTGGAAGGCGCAGTGGAGGGGAGATGATCCTGAGGCCACACCCATCCCTGTGGAACAACTGTCAAAGGTTGGTAGGGGAGAGTGTGTTATCTTTCTTTTTTAAAAAATTTGATTCATGAGCTCATATGTATGGGTGTTTGTCTGCATGAATGTCCATATACCATGTTCACGAAGTCCTCTTAGAGATCAGAAGAGGGGGTCAGATATCCTGGAACTGGAGTTATAGACAGTTATGAGCCATCATGTGTGTGATGGTGTTAGAACTTGGGTCCGTTAGAATAATATTCAGTGCTCTTAACCACTGAGCCATCTCTCTAGCCCCACAACTTACTTTAAAAAACAAATATGTAATTATAGCATTTCCCCTTCCCCCTCTTACCTCCCACTGCTCCCACATCCTTCCCACTTCCTCTCAATTTCATGACCTCTTTTTAAAAACTTCTTGATTATATATATTCATATATGCATATATGCATGAATATATAAATATAATGTAGTAAGGAGCTGCTTATTCGTCCCAGCCACCTAGACTTGAAATAATCACACAGAAACTGTATTAATCAAATCATTGCTTGGCCCCTTAGCTCTAGCTTCTTATTGGCTAACACTTACATATTAATTCAACCCATCTCCATTAATCTGTGTATCACCATGTAGCAGTGGCTTACTGGGTAAAGTTCTAGTGTCTGTCTCCAGCAGGGCTTCGTGGCTTCTTTCTCATTCCCCCTTCTTTCTCCCAGCATTCAGCTTAGTTTTCCCCACCTACCTCTATTCCCTGCACAGGCCCAAGACAATATCTTTATTAACCAATGGTATTCACAGCATACAGAGGGGAATCCCACAGCAATACAACATGCTGAGTCCATTTAGCGTTGTTTGTTTTCAGGGATGACATCTTGCTGCTGGTTAACCAATTAGGCAGTCTCACAGAAGACTTCTGGCTCTTATAACCTTTTTGTCTCCTTTTCTGCAATGTTCCTTGAGCTGTGGGTGTAGGAGCTGTGTTGTAGATGTATCAATTGGGGCATGGGTATCTCGTGTTCCAGTCAATAGTCCCTCACTCATACTCATGTGAGAAGCTGTAATTCAATTAGTAGAGCACAAAGATGTCAAAATAGGAGGGTAACATCTTGGAAAGGATTGGGGAGGAAATGGAGTAAGAGAACCACAATGAGAGTAAACAAGATTACAATAGGTAGCCAGACAGTGGTGGTGCATGCCTTTAATCCAGCACTTGGGAGGAAGAGGCAGTTGGATCTCTGTGAGTTTGAGGCCAGTCTGGTCCACAGCGGGAGTTCCAGGACAGCCAGGGCTACATAGAGAAACCTTGTCTTGAAAAAAAGAGTGTAATAGGTTGTGTGCATGTACAAAATTGTCAGAGAATTTTCTTAAAGGAATGTCCAGACTAGACAGAGACAGAAAGTAAATTAGTGGTCACCAGGGTGACTAATAATGAACACAGAGATTGTCTTTGCAGTGATGAAAATGTTCTAAAACTTGATTGTGGTGATGGTGGCTCAACTCTATGATGACACTAAAAAAAGAACAAGTTGTGTACTTTAAGGAGGGAAATGGTGTGGCTTATGATATATCTCAGCAAAACTAGTTTTACTATTTTTGGCCTATTAGCCATGGGCAAACAAGTATTAGCAAATACTTGAGGTCTGATTTGCCACTCTGTTTATTTTCCACCTAAAATGATTAGTATATTTATTTAAAAAATGTATTTGGGGATATGCAATACACAGCTATATTATTTTAAAGTTTGAAACCGAATTGTGAGCAACCTTCCACCTCATAGCACAGGCTTCAACAACATAAAAAGTTTAAAGATATTTTGCATTGCATTGTGTGTCTGAACCTGTATTTATTTAACTGAGCCGTCTTCATTTGGATGGCCTAACATGGACCTATTATCAATCTCGTTGTTAAATAGGCCAGTGGGTGAATTTCTTGTTTTTAACAGCAACTGCATTCTGTGGCCCTTTTACAGTGGTCAATTGTAGTAATCACTCTTGGGGGCCCACCACCCAGCTCCCAAATAAATACACAGAGACTTATTCTTACTTATGAATGCCTGGTCTTAGCTTGGTTTGTTTCTAGTCAGCTTTTCTTAAATTATCCCATCTACCTTTTGCCTCTGGGCTGTTTCCTTTCTCTATTTCTGTATATCTTTTCTTTCCTTCTTACTCCATGGCTGACTGGGTGGCTGGCCCCTAGCATTCTCCTCTCCTCCTTTTCTTGCTCCTCCCTCTTTCCTTTTTCTCCCTCTATTTATTTTCTCTGCCTGCCAGCGCCGCCTATCCCACTCCTACCTTGCTACTGGCTGTTCAGCTCTTTATTAGACCAATCAGGTGTTTTAGACAGACAAAGTAATACAGACAGCTTCATGAAGTTAAATAAATGCAACATAAAAGAATACAACACATCTTTGCATCATTAAACAAATATTTCACAGCACAAACAAATGTAACTCTTCTTACGCTAATATTCTGCAACAATCAATGTGAAGTCTCTCTTTTAAAAACTTTACTAAAGGGACTAGAGAGATGGTTCAGTGGTTAATAGTAGTGACTGCTCTTTCAGAGATTTTTTTTTCTAAAAATACTTTACATATATTACATCCTGACCATACTTACCCTCTTTCAGACAGAGATTCTTTTTTTTTTTTTTTTTTTTTTTTTTTTGTTTTTCGAGACAGGGTTTCTCTGTGGCTTTGGAGCCTGTCCTGGGACTAGCTCTTGTAGACCAGGCTGGTCTCGAACTCACAGAGATCCACCTGCCTCTGCCTCCGGAGTGCTGGGATTAAAGGCGTGTGCCACCATCGCCCGGCCTCTTTCAGAGATTCTATTCCCAGCATTCATAGAGCAGTTCACTGTCATCTGTATCCAGTTCCAGAAGACCCACCGCCCTCTTCTGGTCTCCATGAGCACTACATGCACATGGAACACAGACATAAATGCAAACACACACACACACACACACACATAAAATAAAAGGAAAAAAAATCTTTTAACTAAAACACGTGGGAAACCGCATCCTTCCTAAACGTGTAGGTGGCCACACCTCCTAAAGAGCCATACCATGTAACCTGCAGCTAGCTCCAGGAGCAGCAGCCCTAGCAGTTCAGGTGCCCCCTGCTTACCAGGATTTTTTTTTTCATTTGATCAGTCGACAGTGCATTCAGCTAGTGAACCTACCATTTGCCATCTTCGGAGCAGGGCCAGTGGAGATGACACAGCTTACCATTTAATGCTACCTGAGACCTCTCTGCTCCCTGTGCCTGGACTCTCCTGCTTTCTGTGCTCTGATATGTGGTAATCTGACCCTTCACCTGAGTGTCAAGCCTTTGTCACACGCCATAACTGAGAGACAGTGTAAAGGCAGGATTGGGTTGGGCTGGTTGAGGGGTAGCTTTGGGCGTGTGGTGGTCTTCCTGGCCCTACACATCTGACAGAGGTTGGCATGGAGGGCCTACCTATGCAGTTACAAACAAGGGCCAGATGTTCTAAACTGGTCATCCTAAGTTTAGTGGCATGTTGAAATCCAGAGGTCCCTGAAAATGTAGGGATGCCTGGGATCCAACTCTAGAAATTTTAATTTAGTTGCCCTTGGATATGACAATGGGCATGGAGATTTTTTTTAAGCACCTAAGTGATTCCATATTAAAGTCCTCCTTGTTTTTTTGTGAGGATGTTGCTCAGTGTCAACATTAGCTGAGTGTTAGATGCCATGTCTCAGTGCCTTCATAATGTCTGTATGACCCATGCATTTATTTTGTTTTCCTACGAAGGCTTGCATAGCACTGTTGTGACCACATCCCAGTTCTTCCACAGACTGAGATGACAATCTCTAAGATGACTGTGGACATAGTGAGTCACTTGGCTTACTAAGAATTAAGGTAATTTAGAACAATAGTGAGTCATGAAAGTCACTTGTTAAGTTTTTTTGAGGTGCTTTCCTAACTCTCCTGCAGATAGCGTGCCTTGATCAAATGTGGTTGGTGTATAAGGATGGTTTCAGATGCATCAGTTACATGAGAGATATGCAGAGCCACCATGCCTGACCTGTCTGAATTGGTCCCTCAACACAAGCCTGGAAGGGTGTCCAGGATGTGAGGCTAACACCTGAAAGAGAAAATAGTCAGTTACTATACCTGTGCAGCAGTTAGCACGCATAAGCAGAGCCTCTTTGGGCACCGAGACATGGGAAATATGTGCTAGATAGAGTAATAAACAGTCAATACAGAGACACGGGGCATTACTTCCTGATTACCAGGAAATTAGCACGGACCCCCCCAGTGTTGTTCTCCTACACGTTCTCATGGGAATTCTGATGCGAGAATGGAGTTTCCAGAAACCCCATTTTCCCCAAGGCAGGCCAGTGGATCCTGGCCAGCGGGTCTGCTCCTGCAGAGTTCAGAGCTGATGATACATTTTCCCATGTGCTATCAAAGCAGTGGTGAGTTCTGTCTTATATTTATATAACCAACAGAAAGAACCTAGTTTAGAGAAAACAGGCAAAGAAGGGAGCTGAGAGTAGCAATTTCTTAGCCTGCTCTATAATTTAGTATGGTATTCTCTGTGGAAGGAGAAAATGATCTATCCCTGTATTAACAGACAGGAGAGGATGAGAGAAGGAAAAAAAATCAAACAGTTTGGGCCCTGGTCCCAGAATTCTCAATGTGTTAGGTAGGAAGAAAAGCCTTTGATTTTTTTTTCATTTTAGCATCATACAAAGTTATTGGTTATTTATGGAAACAGCAGATGCACAATTAAAATATAAATCAACAGGTGGATAAACGGATGAATGGATGGAGCAACAAGCAGTGTGGTAACAAGGTGAGGAGAAAGGAGAGATCACAGTTGGGAAAGCGTATTGGGCTGCTTTCAGTTGGCATAACAAAATATCTGATACTGGATAATTTATAAAGCAAAGAAGTTGCTATGGCTCCCACTTTTAGAGGTCTAAGACCTTTTAGTGTGCTCTAAGACTCCCCCAGGCTGTACCATAGCATAGTGGATAGTATCATGGTGGGAACACCTGTGAAGGAGGGATCACAGGAAG